AAAAAAAAAAACAAAAAAAGTAGCACCTAATTGTGCATTTACAGTTGGCAACTGAAATTTGCAATTAAATATTTCTTTTTTGACAGATGTCAGTAAACATTTAATTAAGCAACAAAAATAGTAATGAAAATGACGTTTTAAATTTACGTCTCTTTTTAAATATTTATGAATCTGGTGTTGTTGCTGGATGGATTTTCATCAGATACATCTATGCCAATATATACTGCTTGCGTCGATACGGAGTACCGGCAGTACAGAAGAAATGCTCACAAAATAACACCTTTAAATTGTTCAAACATTTAGAACTCCCAAAATAAGTGGAATTCTAGTCAAAAAAATTGATATGACTAAAATAAAGCAAAGCGTTTTATCATCAAAAATACCGATGAGGTGTTTCCTTTTTTATGCTTAATTTTACCTATACATAACAATGAACAATAAAAGTAGAAGTAAAAGTCGCAGAACAAAACAACAATGACAAAAGAGAGAAAGGGATACTTTGTCGGCTTATTCACTTTTGCCGTATGAGGTGGTGATAGCAAGAATAAAGGGCACTAGAAAAAAAAAAAAAACAACACTTTATTCAAATTTAAACTCTCAGACAACCAGCCTATGTGAATGAGAAGAAACTGTGATAAACGCTGTTGCTGCAACACTGTCAGCAGCACCGTCATCAATGGAATTGCTATTAGGTTATCTAAACGATTTGGGAAAAAAATTGTGAAGCAAAAAAGTGAAAAAAAAAGTCAAAATTATGGTAAGAACCAAAAAAAAAAAGTAAAAGATGGTGTAAAAAAAATTGTTTTCTATTTCTTCTTCTCTCCTGTTATATGAACCATTCTTTGGGTTTAATTTTTTTTCCTAATCTTATACGGTGAAGGTAAATATCGCTAACAGTTTTTCTTTTTTTGGTCTTTAAGCAACTTAGAAACTTAATAAGACAGTTTACTTTTTAAGAAGAAAATTTTCTTTTTTTTCTTTCTTTATTCCCTCTCTTCCGCTTCACTCTGCCTTTTAGATTAAAAAAAAAAAATTATTTTGACAAATATATCTCAGTGTTTAATTCCTGTTTTTTTTTTTGCCGACTACCAACAGAACCTGTGTTCGTAATCAGTGCATTACTCTATCTTTTCACTACTTGCAATTTCGCTCAATTTGGCGCCACTGATTTCAATTTAGCAAAAGAATTTTTTACACAACGCTTCAAACACATGCATACAGATAAGGTGTATGTACAGTTTATATGAATAAATGAATAAAGAAGTATATACATATATATAAATGAAGTAAAGTTTAAAAATCAGTACTTGAAAAGAAAGGAAAAAGTGAAGAAATTAATGCAGTAACTGCCTGTATAATTTGATTTGCAGATGAAAACAGCAAGATTAAATTACAAAACTAACCAATAAACTGACTATGACATAAGACAACAAACTGTTAGGAGTTGTATGCTTCCAAATAAACCTATTGATCCTTAACTTTGGTTAGCTTATAATGCCCAAAAAACCCTAACCTACCGAAATTTGTAAGATTGCTTAGAAATAGTTATGCTCTGATGAACAAGGAAGTTACCAGTTAACGTCTCCTTCCTGTCTCACTGTTCAAAAAAAAAAAAAAACTATCTTTCTATAAAACATCTGGTTAAAGTGAATCAGCACGTTAGGTATGATAGTAAAATTGAATCAACAACATGCCGGTTGTTGCCTATGTTACAAAAAAAGTACTACGTGCTCGATGTAGTTTAATGCTGATACATATCAAAAGCAACTGTACCCAGAGCAAACGAACTAACCTTCATCTTAAGCAGGAAGTTTGTTTTGCTAAATT